TGATTCTGTGAATATTATAGCTGAATCTTATCCAACATTTGAATATTATGATTTTATACTTAAAACTGATATTGATGTTTTTATAACCACACAGTTTGCTAAATATGTACCTCTTACAAATGTAACATTATTAGTTGGTCGTGGTGGTTATTCAACAAAATTCAATACACGTCGTCTAGGACGTATTGCTCGAGATATGAATTGGGAATATCAAAATATGACTAATATTGGGTCAACATGGTAAGTAGATATCAATTGACTGTCATTATGTTTTTAGAGAATCTTCAATCATCATTTTCAATATGTGTATTAAGTCTCCATCTCAGTCAAAAGGACTTCGCCGGACTCGGTAATCTATCCCTAGTCAGGATGCCATATGTGTAGTTTTGTAGAGCAAATAGCGGCACACCGTATGATGTATAAGAAATGAAGTTTTATGAAAAACTTCATGTGTTAATGGTCGATACATTGCTTGTGATCATTGAGAAATATTGTAGGGTACCCATAGACATTGTAATCGATGGTATATTCTTTTACAAACTTATGCAACTTTTTTCTAAACTCAATTCAATACAGCTTTAGGTGTTGGTCAATTTTCTACAATCAATAGTGTTCATCATTGACTTTGTCATACCTATAAATGATCCCTTTTCTTAGGTGTAGGTTATTTCTTGATTATATGATATTTCAGTATGTCCAACTCTGTGCCATAGAACGAGTAAATATCAATGTGAAACTTTCTCAAAAATCACACACTATTGAGTTCTATATGGTTCGTATATAACATATTTCGAAACAACAGGAACTCATTGTCGACTTGCACGATTGCCTTCTAGATCAACCTATGTTATTCTATGAAGGCTCCGGTGTATTGACAATATTTTAACAATATTCAACGGTCCTATTAAATATTTTCATTTATCAATTGTCACCACAGCGTCTCTAATAAACTGTTATCAATAAATCCTTCAAAAATGGAAATTCTTTCTTTAATCTTCCGACCCCGAAAGAGATAAGGAAATAGAGCTACAGAACAGACGTCTATTATTTTTACTATTACTTTTTCAAATTTTTATTCCAAGCATCCATGCTTCATTTTAACATGAATCTCTACAAGTGTCCATAAATATCACAGATTCAGTTCAAAATTGAAGTTTTCCACATCTTCGTACTCCGAGGTCTTGAGGTCAAAACATTTTTTCCGCTCATTAAGGATTTGTTTATAAAAGTTTATCAGAGATTCTTTTCTGATTATTGTTACGGTAAATTTTTCAATAGAATTGTTGAGTACTGTTAAAATATCATCAATATACCAGTCTTTGTATTTAGTAAAATAGACTAGTCTAGGAAACAATCTTGAAAGTTGACAATAGATCGCTGCTGTTTGGAAAGACTGTATATGAGACATATACAACTCAATAGTATGCAATTTTTGAGGAAGTTTCACATTGGTACTTATTTGATCTATTCCACAGAGTCGAACACACTGGAATATCATACATCCAGGAAGTAGTCTACATCTACGAAAAAGAATCATTTTTAGGTATAATGAAAGCAACGATGAAAACTATTGATTATAGAAAATTAAGGAGCATCTATATCTGTATTGAACTAAGTTCTGAAAAAATTGTATAAGTTTGTCTTTGAATGTTATATGGAATACAATATATATGAGTACCATATATTATTTTTCAATGATAATATGTAGTGTATCGACGGTTACGACGTAAAAGTTTTCATAAAACTTGATTTCGTGTATATCATTCGAAGCACCGCAATTTGTTGTATAAAACGATATACAGTGGGTACCAAAATTGATCAACCACCTGATTGAAAATTTTTGTTTTTTGCATATCCCAAAATCTAACTTAGGTATAATAGTCTAGTTTTCACCATATCGTAGTCCATAGTATCTAGTATGCATACACAAAATTTCAAGTCAAAATTGCAATCTGTTCAGTTTTATTTTAAAAAATGACAACCACCTGTCATTTTTCAGTGTTCCAAAATTGATCAACCATTTGTTTTCATGATCCATTGTGCGCCCATTTTAAGTTAAAACTTTCTTCATGACACACTATCCGAAAGAGAAAATCGTGCTCTACATGAGGAGCTACTTTTTATTGTAGCTTCTTTTCGGGAAAAGGTCGAATATAGTTATTTTCAAAGCATACTGGAAATGTTTGACAAAATGCGATTTTCTCCTCCAATGTTCAGCCAATTTCAATTTTCAATACACCATTAGAAAGAGCGTCACAAACTGCACCAGGCATGCCTTTTTGGATAGTTATTCTACGGTAGAAAGTTGAATTGGTGCAGCCTCATCTACACTCCAACCAAGCATAGGACCCCTTGTATTCCCTCATTCCTGCATCGAAAAGAATGTACGAATTTTTTAAAGACCTCATATTTGTAGAGAATTGCTTGCTGTATAAAACCGTTATATTTGAAGTCAAAAATATTTTCAGTCTCATGAGTTACACACAATTGTTTTCTTGTAGAGGATCAGATTGAAAATTTACCAGTAGCTTCAACAAGAAACTGGGTTCAGATTTCGTCAAATAAAGATCAAAATTTTCCACACCATATATCAGTCGAAGGAGTATAGAATTTGGCGCAAAATGCTATGTAACATTTCATTTTACAGTCCTTCACTGGATGAAATCTGAGTCCAGTTTCTTGCTGAAGCTACTGGTAAATTTTCAATCTGATCCTCTACAAGAAACCAATTGTGTGTAA